TTTGGCGCGGAACAGAGCGCGATTGCCCTGTTCACATATGCCAAACGAACCGCGCTAACTGGGCAAACAAGATACGTTCCGAAACAAAAGTGTAGGTGTGAAAGCACCCTTTGTCTGGGGTGAAATTTATTTTACAAGTAAGAAGGCCTGCAATGGCTTTTTCTTCCTCCATTTTTTCTTTTTGATATTTGCCACCAGTTTATCAGAAAGTTACGATTCTGTTCTCTTTAATTGATGAAAACTGTTCTTAATTCGCAAATGTGTAATGCAATAGTCCAGTTTTGTGCATAATTCTTATTTGTATCTTTGAACGAAAACATAGCTACTTTCTCAATATAAGCACTAAATCAGCAGCAGTTACTGACAAGTACAATGGTGTTGAAGCGAATGCTCCAATTAACATGGCCAAATGTGTCAGAGCTGCTTTTTCAATTCATTAGAGACAACAGTGTAGGTAATGGAGACAATAAACTGTGAGCTCCCATCCCTTTAGCTGTCAGTACACTTCAGCTGATTTAAAAATGTAACACGCTGGTCAAAGCACTCAGAAATAATAATTCAGTCATTTTGTGCAGTTTCTGTAATACATTGTTTCTAACCACTTCTTCTTTGCAATCAACATGAACACACCACTTCCAGACTCGACAGCGAGTGAAAGTCTCTTCAGCACTTCAGCAATGTTATTTAGTCCCAGCAGAGCACAACTGCAATTTTAAAAATCAGCACCTGTTTAAGCTGACCACAGAGTTTCACCATTCTGAAAATAAAATGATGTGGTAGTGTTTTGGATGGAAAAAGAGAAGTTGTTCTGACTGTTTACATGTAATGCTTCTGAGAATGACAAAATACCATGCCAACTTTAAGGCTGGCATAAAGTTGCCATCAGAAAAGTTTGAAAAGTTTGAATTAAATTATTAATTTCTTCATTATAGTATCTATCTATCTATCTGTCTATCTATCTATCTATCTATCTATCTATCTATCTATCTATCTATCTATCTATCTATCTATCTATCTATATATATATATATATATATATATATATATATATATTGTACCAAATCATAATTACAATCACCTGTTGATATCACCTGTTTTAAATCAATCATCATTTAACCAATTAACTTTACTAGCCCTTAACTGTTCTTGTCTTAACTCTTTTTTGGAATGTGTTGCAGTTCTGAATGACAAAAAAGGATGTATATTTACAAACGACATGAAAATGAGCAGCCAAAACATGAAATATTTTGTGCTCATATTGTCTGCAATGAATTATAAATCAGTAAATTTGAAAATCACTATTTTCAAAGTTGCCATCAGACTAGTTTTAAACTCTCTAAGATAAATAATAAATGAATAATTTCTTAATTATAGTTTCTATCTATCTATGTATCTATCTATCTATCTATCTATGGAGAATTTCTGATACATATCCTCTTAACATTTTAGGACACATTTACTGTGGTTTACAAAATAAAACACAACTGAACATTTTACTGAACAAATACATAACAACTCAGAGAAATGCAGATAATTTGCAACAGTCTCTTAATTTTTCCAGAGCTGTACAGTATTCCAAAAATTAAACAAGAACTAGTCATTATACACTATCACAAAACACATTTAATTACCTTTTAATTAACTTTTTAGACCTTTTATCCAATGTAACTTATCAAGTGATATTTATACAACCTCAAAGTTAGAAAAAGTTGGGACAGTGTGGAAAACGCAAAAAAAAAAAAAAAAAGAAAAAGAAAGAAAAAAGTGATTTCTAAATACACAATACAACAAACTATTTAATGTGTTCCTCAAGATTATTCATATTTTTTTAAATAAACACATATTCCAGTGTTGGTTTATGTAACACATTTTAAAAAGTATGAACGATAAAGCACTTCTTACCACTTTGTAATGTTATCATTCCTTTTCACAACACTTTAAAGACATTTAGGGACTGAAGACACCAAGTGATGAAGTGTTTCATTGTCCCATTGTTCTTACAAACAAGTATTAGAGTGGCAACAGTACAGGGTCTTCATTGCTGCATTTTGCACTTGAAAATGTGCAACACATTCTCTATTGGAGACAGGTCAGGACTGCAGGCAGACCAGTCAAGTACCTTTATCTTTTTCCTCAGCAACCAAGACTTTGTAAAGTGTGCAGAATGTGGTTTTGTATTGTCTTGTTGAAATGCACATGGACATCTCCGGAAAAGAAGGCAGCATTGTATGCTCCAAAATTTCTATGTACTTTTCAGCACTAATAGTGGCATCACAGAATGTACCTATACATAACGGAGCACAAAGCATCCATTTCTCCACCAAGTATACCAGAAATACTGATTCATCTGACCACAGTTCACGTTTCCAATGTGAAGATGGATGATAGTCCATCACAGATGTCCATCACAGATGTTTTACCTGGCATGGGTGGAGAATTACATGGGTGTGGATGTAACTTTGTATTGTGATACTTGAAAAAGAATTGCCAAAGTAGTCCTGAGCCCATGTGGTGATATCGCTTATAGATGAATGACGATTCTTGATGTAGTGCCGCCTGAGGGATCGGAGTCCTTGTCCTTTACGCACTAAAATTGCTCCAGATTTCTTGAATCTTTGAATTATGTTATGCACTGTTGAAGGTGAAATATCCAAATATCTTCCTGTCTTTCTTTGAGGAACATTGTTTTTAAACATTTCAATAATTTTCTCATGTATTTGTTGGCAAACTGGCGATCCTCTGCCCATCTTTGCTCCTATAGGACTAACGTTAGCCCTTTCTTGGATGCTGCATTTGTACCAAATCATAATTACAATCACCTGTTGGCATCACCTGTTTTAAATCACATCATCATTTAACCAATTTACTTTACTAGCCCTTAACTGTTCTTGTCTTAACTATTTTTTGGAATGTTTTGCAGGTCTGAATGACAAAAAAAAGGATCTATATTTACAAACGACATGAAAATGAGCAGCCAAAACATGAAAAATATTTTGTGTTCATATTAAACAGAAGCTTTAAACTGCTTCTGTCCCAACTTTTTTTGGAATGTGTTGCAGGTCTGTTCACGGTTTTCTTTTTTTATAAGTGCTTTTATACTGTCCCAACCTTTTCTGATTTGGGTTTGTACCAACATTTGATCCCCTTCTCATTGTAGGTCACTTTGGATAATAGGTCTAAAGGTAAAGGTAATTAATTTGAGCAGCAAAATAATTAATTTTTGTGCATTATTTTTTTATAGCAAACCAATGGTAGAAGAGGCATGGTTAAGAATATTGTGACTGTAGCTGTCAAACTGACATCAACAGAGAAGGACCGCGCACTTCAAATGCTGAAGCAAATGCTCAAACTTTGACTGAAGATTATCAAAACAAAACATTTTTTTTCAGTGAATTAATTTAAACTGATTTATTGCTCAGCTAAAAAATAACAATGTCTGTCAGCAAAATAAGCATTGCAAATGTTGATTACACAAGGTCTTTAAAGTAGCTTTACCAACCTCAACAGCTATAAAATAATTAAATGACAATGAAAAAACACTCATTATTATTCTGATGATATGTACTGTCATCATCTGGGACAAACACATAGGGCTCTATTTTTACGGTCCAAGCGCAGAGCGCAAAACGCAGGACGCAAACGCTTTCAGGGCGTGTCAGGACGTGTTTTTGCTAATTTAAGGACGGGAAATCTGCCTTGCGCCGCGGCGCATGTTCTAAAAGGGTTGAGTTTATTTTCTTAATGAGTTATAGGTGTGTTTTGAGAATAAACCAATTAGAATCTCATCTCCCATTCCCTTTAAGACCCAGCTGCGTCGCGCCAAGAGCGCATTCGCCATTTACAGGACACAAAGTAAGTCTAAGTGGAAAAAATGAGCAATTTACAAGCAAACAGTTCACAGTTAACAGTTTTTTTTAAACAGAAAACTGTTAAACAGAGCATCTACTGCGTGAGAATGAGAGATAATGGATCACTTTCGCTCTTGGATAGGGAAACCTTTACGCACAGACATCATTTAGTCTATAAATAAATACTTTTGTTTGTTAAGCGCAAATATTCATTTCAAAACTATTTCTAAATTCAGTTCTAATTTCCAGCAAACCAATAAATGAATAATAATAGCAAAATGTGCTCAAAAACCTGAGTTATATCCTAAAACACATGCTGTGCCCCATATGGTCTAAAACCTGACAGGTGGGCAAATCTAAGCTTGTTTTTAATAAAACAAATATAAATATGGATATAATAAATAATACTGCTAATAATAATAACATTATACAAAAGCAAATTGTTATGAATGAACTGAAAAAGCCTCATGAGATGAAGAGGACATAAAAGCAGTGGTTTTTTTATATTTATGTAGGCTAGAAAATAATATGTTTTGTAATATTTTAATCCTTTATATTTATATTCTATATCTATTCTTATTATATACTATATATATCCTTAATATTTACATTTTTTCATATGTAAAGATATTTGCCTGTTGCTCTCTTGTGCGTATTAAGCAGTGCGTAAGCGAGGGGCAACTTTGCGCCGGAGTTTAGACCGGGTTAGTTTTGGTCTAATGAAAAATCTATTATAGATTCTCAAAATACCGCACCAGCGGTTTGCCTCAGAACGCCTTCCTTTTTAGACCAGAACGCCTATGGACGCAAAAATGAGCGCTAATGCATTTGCTATTTAAAGAGCGTAGCGCAACGCCTCAAAACGACTCTTGCGCCAAGCTGAAACTACCAAAAGACTACTGCGCCATGCCTTGCGCCACACTGCGCCGGGTGTATGATAGGGCCCAAAGACTCATATAATTAACTACTAGCAATTAGCACCTGAATAAACCTCCTCAAACAAACAACAATAATGGTGATGATTGGGAACAGAAGACTATGTACAGTATAACACTATTCGTGTTTCAAATACAGCATATAAAAGAGTTTTACACCAATCCTGAGATCTTCACAGTCTGTCTACAGAAGCACGATGAAGAGAAAGGCACTCACCTGGGTCTTCTTGTTTTCTAGGTGTTGTCTTTCTCTGTGAAATATGAACACACTCAGCTATTATTATCTTCCTTTTGCACCAATGGTAAAACACTGTCAGAATATATGACAATCTAAAACAACAATCCTGTTATTCTTTTTCAACACGGCTTTCTGCCAGTACTACTAACATTTAAATGACAAAACAACTATTTGCTTCAGAATAGATTTTACAATTCTATCTTTCACAATGGATATAAAGAAGAGATCATTTTATTTCACAGTTTGAAATAGTGTTCATTATGTTTGAAGTGTCAACTAAGAACAAACCATTTAGATATTAATGCACATGTCTTTAGTCTCACCTGTGGTTTCTGAACTGCAGCACCTAAATCATGATGAGACAGAGAGTAAACAAGAAGAAAAAAGGGAGAAAGAAAATACAATTACTATATTGTGGTATTATTTAGACTATTTTAGCCCCCTTCAGCAAATAAGTACTCTTATAGTTAAGCCTCGTTTAAATTCCAAGCACTGGACAACACTTTTTATTTGCTGAAAAGGATGTTGACAAATAGACCCTTTTTTCATTTCCGAGTTTCTCAGAAGTCATCATAGTTGGGTGAACTTAGAGCACAATGTATGGGAGACTACAAGTATTTTATTTACAATCCTATAATAAAAAAACTTAATGATTGAACTATTAAGACTTTCAGAAAAAGAAAAACAAATTGTAAGAGACTGATAACAGCAGCCAGAACCCTGCAGGCACAGGACGTCAACATGACCTCATATGGACATTAGACCCCAACGACATTTGACATCGTAATTGGACGTGGAAATAACGTTGTCCTTAGACATTGATTTTTGGTCACCTAACGTTATGACCTAAATCCAACCTAATATTACCATTTCATGAAGTTGTGTCCCTGCTGGAAAGTGACAATGTCAAATTCAGTTCAACGTCAGTTTCATGTTAAAAATTTGTTATTGACAAATTAGCATTAGCACTCTATTCCTGACACTAGATGAGAAATAGTAGTTTAATTTCGTTATTTTTTTTTTATCAGAAAAAAAGTCTATATTAAAGAAACATTTCTATTCATAAATAAGTAATAAAATTTTATTTTTATGTTGTCTCCACATTCCCTCCAAAATTTGTAGCAGTCTATGATTTTCTAGTATTACATTCATTCAACCATGGTGAACACACACAGAATAAATGCTCTTGCTTTTGCACTCCTTTTTTCCGGACACGATGATTTCGGAAAATTCTGTGCGACATTCACAAGGGGGCATATGTTGACAGTCGTGTGCAAATGGCATGTGCAGTGGAAAGACGGCTTAAATTCAGGAGTTGCGGAAAAAAGTGTGGGCCAGGGCGAGGGGTGTGTGTGAGGTGGGGGACCAGTAAAATAAGGTGCCTGCATGTAAGTATTTAGATGTTTTTTTTTTTTAATCAAAATATTAAAAACCTTCAAGGATTTAAGACATTGATGACCATCAAATGTGTCATAACAGTGTTGTGAAAAGGGTCCTTAAATTTAAGATTAGCTGAATAAAATGCTTACTCTGTTAATCTCAAACAGTATAGTAAATGTCTACATAACAGACCTAACATAACAGAAAACATTTTAGTGCCAGCCAGTGTAAGGCCAGTTTTTGTCCTTTTATTTTCTTTTTATGTAGCAATTACTGTTGCTTTGTTCATACTACTTTAACACTTTCAAATGCATCTTATGAAAAATATACGGCAAGTTACAAAGCACTAGGTCTACTCCAAAAGGAGTTATCTACGCTATATATCAGTAGCACTGTTTCAGAACTCTTTCAAATGCATCGATTATAGGCTTGATTGTGGCCGTAACCATCACTGAGGTCTCCATGCCCAATAATTGGTATTTGTTTTTGATTTGATTAAATTTGTCAGATATATAAGTAATATATCAATGGTATTTCAAAGTGCTTTACATAACCATTAATAAACAAAACAGGAATAAGAAAATAAAAAAAAACAAAGAATAAAAATTATTTAAAAATAATTCAAATGTGTTAAACAGATTATAAAAGAATGAAAAAGAAAAGACAGACATAATAACGCGATCTGTCGGACGTAGCACAGTGCTTATTCAGTAAAGGCACAGCTAAACAGATGTGTTTTCAGTCTTGATTTGAATGTGCCTAATGTTGGAGCACATCTGATCATTTCTGAAAGCTGATTCCAGCAGCGGGGGGTGCAGTAGCTAAAGGCGCATTCGCCCGGCTTTGACTGAACTCTTGGAATTTATTTTTTATTTGATCCTAAAGATCTGAGTGATCTGTTGGGTTTGTATTTAGTCAGCATATCTGTAATGTATTGAGGCCCTAAGCCATTTAGTGATTTATAGACAAGTAATAACGCTTAAAAATAAATTCTGAATTTAACTGGGAGCCAGTGTAAAGACATGAGGACAGGTGTGATGTGCTCTGAATTTCTGGTTCTGGTCAAAAATCTGGCAGCAGTGTTCTGGATGAATTGAAAGGCCAGTGAGGAGTCAATTTCAGTAATCCGCTCTACTGGTGATAAAAACATGAACAAATCCTCACTAGAAACAAAGCATCTAATTCTTGCAATGTTTTTGAGATGATAGTATGCTGATTTACTAACTGCTTTGACATGACTACTTGAACTCATATCTGACTCCTGAATAACACCAAGATTCTTGATTTTGGTGCATCAAGGATAATAGACAAGTCTTGAATGTAATGAATGTAAGTCTTGTTCCCTAAAGAAGGTAATGAATATATTAAGTCAGTTAATCGACACACAAAAATCCAATGACTGCCTATAGTCAACAGATTGGGAAAATGTATGTCAAGTGCCACAGAAGCTGAATATGTCGCAATGTTGCTCAGCCTGCAGCTCTGCAGATGTCTGTTAAGAGACGCCATGTACAATGCGCAAAAGGAGCTAACACTCCTGGGGGACACGGCTCTCCCTGCTACTGGTTGGATTACTCAACCCCACTGTTAACATTCATGGATATATATTTGTTTGCTCATACATTACCTTGTGTGTATATGACAGATTATGTCAAAAATACATTTAACATTCGCCTTTTTATCTTGTATCTTTGTTCAAAAAACATAATATGACTACTTTAAGATGAGCACCATGTTTTTGGACATGAAACATAATTGAAATGGAGAAACATCTGTGTAGGGCATGCTGACATTGAAAAATAATACAAAATAAAAACATTCTGTGTGAAGTATAAAAGCGTGGAACATAGTGTAACTAATTCTGAACTTTTTCTCTAACAGCTAGGCAGTATTGAAGCTCTGCATTACCTTCGGTCTATGGCAAGACAGTTACATTACAACATTCACTGAAATATTTACTGCATATCTGAAAACCATGAGAGCCTGACATGAAAAAGAATCTGAAATCATCTGGGTATAAATTCCAGGAATTTATATTATTCTTTAAACAGTCAATTATGAAGTGTCAACATGAAGAAGCTCTTTAATAATTACCTGTCCTTCCACAGACTCCCAGTTTACCCAGACAGCCCTTATGAGCCCCGTTTCCACATTTAGGACAAAGGTAGCCTTGGTTAAAAATCCCCCTGAGTACAGAAAGTACAGTACATGAAGCATACATGACTACAAAAGGCTACATCAAATCCAAAGGTCTCAGTTCATGCCATGTTTAGCTTCAATAGACTATAGTCAGGGCAGCAGAATTTGTAGACACTACAATCATTACATATGCATTTCTTCAGGATGCATAGTTGTTTTCATGATTTCCAGAGAAGTAAAACCATCATTTGAGGTTAATTGGATATGACAACACTGGCAGACGCTACACAAACAAGTAAGATTCAAACATTTTCAAACTCAAACAAAATACATAACATTGTTCTAGTAGTCTCTGAATTTTAAACCAAAAATGGTTTATACTGTGCCATTTAATGGATATAAATCCATTTCTTTATGTCATTCACAAACTGCATAAGCAATAAAATGATATAAGACATTTACAAATTATACCATCTACAAAGTATTGTAGTAAACATTCACCTTATCCAGTGCTCTATTTCCTTTAAGTTTACTTTCAGACTTCATTTTCTTTTCGGCTTAGTGCCTTTATTAATCTGGGGTCGTCACAGTGGAATGAACCGCTAAGTTATCAAGCATATGTTTCACACAGCAGATGTCCTTACCTAACAACCATACACACTCTTTTACACACATACACTAAGGCCAATTTAGCTTATTCAATTCACCTACAGCACATGCCATTTAGCAGACACAATGAACTCCTAATTTGATCCTTAATAATAATTATTATTATAGTACTGTAGTTAGGTTTAGAATTAGGGATGTAGATTAAGATTGTTCAGAATATAAGAACAAATAAAAAAGCCAATATCTTAATACGAGGCAGGTAATTAACAGGGTCTGACAGAATGTAAAGATTTTTTTTTGCTATTATTGCACAAGATGTAAAAATAAAAACCAAAACAAATAATAATAATAAAGTGTAATTAAATTTGCCAATTTATGTGGAATGATTTTAAGAGTACAGGAACTGAACATAAAGTAATAATTTCTTAACATTAACTTAAGGTTTATGTTTTGCAACATGTTGATGAAACAGCAAATCTGTCATGACGGTCAGTGACCACCAGAGGGCGCTGTAGTTCACAGACTCTGGGAATTGACTACAGCGCCCAAAAGACTACAAGTTCATACATACCATGCGCATTACACCCGGTCCACGTACACTGATTGGCTCACAGCTGTTCCTGTTTCCTGTTAATTTCCTGGACTATTTATACAACCATTTCACCTCTGTTTGTCACTGCGTCGTTTGTCCATCTTGTCTCCGTATTCCTGTAAGTTTAGAGTTTCTGATTCCTGAGCCCTGTCTCTGTTTTGTGTTTCTTGTTTTATTGTTTATTTGTACTTTGCACTTTGGACACCTTGTTTTTCTGTTTGATGCACATTGTAAATAAAACTGCACTTGGATCCGCACCTTTTTGTTCCTGTTTGATCTTGCTAACGTGACAGAACGACGCAGTCACATTATGGATCCAGCAGACAATAGCATCATGCTTTTAAAACAAGGTAACCGCTCAATAGAGCGTTATATAAAGGAGTTTTTGGAGCTAGCCCCGAAGAGCTCTCACAGTGATCTTTTGCTGATGATGTGTTTCCGGGGAGGACTTTTGGAACCAGTTCGTTCCCTCATGCCACCATACGAAGACGACTGGAACCTTTATCGTTTTATTGAAGTGGCCTTATTAATCTCCGGCTCCCCTCTCTCTGTTGCCCTGAAGGAGGAGAACCCTCAGGAGGGCGGCCTGAGTGTAGGGCAACAGAGAGGGATATTTTCAGGGCCGGCTGATGTATCTATGGGAAGGAGGAGAGAGGCGGGGTTGGAGTTGCGTCCTTATCCGCGTCGGGCTGTCCGTAGACCACCTTTCTCTGAGTCTCTGGAGAGTCTGCTAGAACTGTGTGGAACCCCAGTGTCTGCTCCAGTCTCACAATGCCCGCCAGTGTCGGCTCCAGCTCCAGAGCAAGCTCCCTCTCCTGATGACAACACTCTCCCTTCTCAAACCACCAGACGAAGGAGGCACAGGAGGAGGACTGCCCATATCCCAGAGCGCCCGCCAGTGTCGGCTCCAGCCCCAGAGCGCCCGCCAGTGTCGGCTCCAGCCCCAGAGCGCCCGCCAGTGTCGGCTCCAGCCCCAGAGCGCCCGCCAGTGTCGGCTCCAGCCCCAGAGCGCCCGCCAGTGTCGGCTCCAGCCCCAGAGCGCCCGCCAGTGTCGGCTCCAGCCCCAGAGCGCCCGCCAGTGTCGGCTCCAGCCCCAGAGCGCCCGCCAGTGTCGGCTCCAGCCCCAGAGCGCCCGCCAGTGTCGGCTCCAGCCCCAGAGCGCCCGCCAGTGTCGGCTCCAGCCCCAGAGCGCCCGCCAGTGTCGGCTCCAGCCCCAGAGCACAGTTCAATGCCGGTTCCAGTCCGGCTCCTGGCTTTACCGGCGCCACCCAGGCTCCTCGCCCTGCCGGCGCCACCCAGGCTCCTCGCCCTGCCGGCGCCACCCAGGCTCCTCGCCCTGCCGGCGCCACCCAGGCTCCTCGCCCTGCCGGCGCCACCCAGGCTCCTCGCCCTGCCGGCGCCACCCAGGCTCCTCGCCCTGCCGGCGCCACCCAGGCTCCTCGCCCTGCCGGTCCCAGCCCGGCTACTGCCATTACCAATGCCATCCAGGTGTCTTGCCCTGCCGGCACCACCCAGACGTCTTGACCTGCCGGTCCCAGTCCGGCTCCAGGCCCTGCCGGTTTCAGTCCGGCTCTTTGCTCTGCCGACCTCGCTCGGGCTCCTTGCTCTGCCAGCTCCAGTCCAGCTGCCTCCAGTCCCGCCGGCTCCAGTCCAGCTGCCTCCTGTCCCGCCGGCTCCAGTCCAGCTGCCTCCTGTCCCGCCGGCTCCAGTCCAGCTGCCTCCTGTCCCGCCGGCTCCAGTCCAGCTGCCTCCTGTCCCGCCGGCTCCAGTCCAGCTGCCTCCTGTCCCGCCGGTTCCAGTCCAGCTGCCTCCTGTCCCGCCGGCTCCAGTCCAGCTGCCTCCAGTCCCGCCGGTTCCAGTCCAGCTGCCTCCAGTACCGCCGGCTCCAGTCCAGCTGCCTCCAGTCCCGCCGGCTCCAGTCCAGCTGCCTCCAGTCCCGCCGGCTCCAGTCCAGCTGCCTCCAGTCCCGCCGGCTCCAGTCCAGCTGCCTCCAGTCCCGCCGGCTCCAGTCCAGCTGCCTCCAGTCCCGCCGGCTCCAGTCCAGCTACCTCCAGTTCCGCCGGTTCCAGTCCAGTTGCATCTCCAGCCGGCTCTTCTAAAACCCCCTGCCTTGTGTCTCCTGCGAGATCATCCATGGGTCATCCCTCCCGCCCCTCCCTGGTGGTCCTTCCCACTGTTTGGGACTGATTCCCCGGCTGCACCCTGGCTTTCTGCTGGGGCGCCTGACCCATGGACCTACCCTGGTCTGACCCTCCCATCCCTCCCCTTGTTCCTGCTCCGCTTACACCCCCCCCTGGACTGTTCTGGGAGCGTCTGGTAGCCGCTCTTTAAAGAGGGGGTACTGTCATGACGGTCAGTGACCACCAGAGGGCGCTGTAGTTCACAGACTCTGGGAATTGACTACAGCGCCCAAAAGACTACAAGTTCATACATACCATGCGCATTACACCCGGTCCACGTACACTGATTGGCTCACAGCTGTTCCTGTTTCCTGTTAATTTCCTGGACTATTTATACAACCATTTCACCTCTGTTTGTCACTGCGTCGTTTGTCCATCTTGTCTCCGTATTCCTGTAAGTTTAGAGTTTCTGATTCCTGAGCCCTGTCTCTGTTTTGTGTTTCTTGTTTTATTGTTTATTTGTACTTTGCACTTTGGACACCTTGTTTTTCTGTTTGATGCACATTGTAAATAAAACTGCACTTGGATCCGCACCTTTTTGTTCCTGTTTGATCTTGCTAACGTGACACAAATCCATTTGCGCCACTTTGTTGACTCATGGGTGTGCTGGTCTAAAAAGGGCGTGTGTTAAGGCGCATTGTGGGTGCATTGCTATTTTGAGAAACCATTGACCAAGTAACAGCTGGTCTGAAGTCCAATGCAGATCACGTTTATTATACACCATTGCAGGATCAAATGCTTAATACACACATGATGTACATCAATACACAAATATCTTTACATATGAAAAAAAGAAAGGATTAAAATGTTACAAAATTATTATTTACTTTAAAAATATAAAAGTTTTATTCATGAGAATTAGAACTTTCTTTATAATATTATTAGTAGTAGTATTATTTATTATATGCATATTTATATTTGTTTTACTAAAAAAAAAAAGATTATATTGTTTGTCTTCTTGTCAGGTTTTGGAGACATAAGTATCACCATATGGGGCATAAGAATAAGATGTGTGTTTGGATATAACTCAGTTTTTGACCACACTTCGTTGTTATTTTTCTTTTATTCATTTGCTGGAAATTAGAACTGAGTTTAGAAATAGTTCGAAACAAATCTTTGCACTTAAACTAAATAAAAAATGTAGGCTAGTGAATGTCTTGAGTGGAGTGAGTTTCCACCGTTTCCTTACTTCACGAAAGTAACGGATTAAAGTAAAGAGTAAAATTAAAGTAAAGAGAAAGTAAAGAGGCTGAATGAAGGAGGCTTGTTCTATATCCTCGCATTGCAGATGGTCTTTAACTGTTTTCTTTCTAGTGAAGCGTTTAGTTTTTTTACTTACAAAGTCTGCCATGTAAATAGCAAAATGTGCCATTGCGCAATGCAACCGACTCTTAAAGGGAATGGAAGATGAAACTCTGATTGGTTTAATAAACGTTATGCTCAAAACGTGTTAAGAGAATAAGCACTTCCTTGTTAAACGATGCCTCAGGGCGCACACCATATTTTTCCGCTTTTGCGCCATGAGCTTTAGACTTTGTGCCAGGATCAATAAAAAAGAGCCCTAAGTCTCTCAAATAGCACATCTACTAAAAGACAGAAAATATAACTTTAGACCATTTATTTACAATACAGTATGTAAGTTTTGCATACTACTTAAATACATACTTAAAAATCTGCAGAAATCTACACTAAAGTGTAACCAAAATTTTTTTTTTTTTGCCATTTAAAAACTACAGTATTTACAAGAGACATGCGGTGAAAAATCTGTGATTTTATTTTTGCACCTGACCTTATTGCATATGGATTTGTAGAAGTTCCCCTCCCAGTCACAAATATTTATGATGGGAGAGCATTTAAATAAATCATGAGACATGATTTACAATGTGATTGGTGGAAGTCATTTCAATTATTCATTGTGATCCTGCTGTAGTAAGAGGAACGCGCGGACCAGAGTGAGGTACGAATAAGGTATCTTTATAAGGGGGAATATTCTCTGCACTCATGTTTATTTATTTGGAATGCCTGAAGAACATCTACTTTGAACATATCGACTAAAAAGCCAGATTCTTGTTCATTTGAGCTGCTCTTGGTAGATTACATCGGCCATTAATCAAATGAGCTGCTGCGCCTGTGTTATTTTAATCTGTAAACTGTCAGTAGAAACAACTTCAGAACTTTCCATTCCCATCAGCAAGTTCACACTAATTTTCCCAGTTTAGTGGCTCTTAGTTGGTGAGGGAAATGTCTAAACAAAGCTGAACTGCAAACAATATCAGACATTTTAGCAGACTTCTGGTATTGCTATACTGATTATAAACATTTGATTGAAGCATCATACAAAAGAATAATTCTCCAAAAAGAGATGAGACACATGTCAAGTAATACTTTGAGGAAAAATGTTATTTTCCTAAATATTTTGCCCCATGATGCATCCGACTATCCCTTACAGCCTTGTTTCCATTTGCACAACATTCTGTTTGTAAATTCGGTATTCTACCCTGAGTAAAATATATCAGGAGTTATCAAACAATATCTTCCTATTCCAATATTTTAGGCCATTACTATGCATTTCAAACCCTTTATTCTTTGGAAGTGCTCCTATTTACTGTATATCGTTAGAACTCTATCAAGAACATTGCTTATGTCACTTGAAAGTCTAATTTGACAAGATTTATTTACAATTAAATATAAAGTGTAGGCAAATGTAATAGGCTCTATTTTAAAAATCCACTTTTGCTATTTTAAGAATGGAAAAATACAGTCTGCAACCTGACGCATGGTCTAAAAGGGTCATGCTTATTCTCTTAATGAGTTATGGGTGTGTTTTAAGCTTAACATGCATTAAACCAATCAGAGTCTCATCTCCCATTCCCTTTGAGAGTCTATTGTGTCACGCCATGGCGCATTTCCAATTTACATGGCAGACTTTGATAGAGGAAAAACTGAACACTTTACTAGTGAGAAAACAGTTAAAGATCATCTGCAATGTAAGGATAAAGAACGAGCCTCGTCTATTCAGCCTCTTTCATTTCTCTTTACTTTACTTTTACTCCTTACTCCACAATTTAATTTCATTTGTTAAGCGCAAATATTTGTTTCATAACTATTTCTAAACAAGTTCTAATTTCCAGAAAATGAATAAATAAACAATAATAACGTAGTGTGGTCAAAAAAAATCAAGCCCCAAATGCATATAATAAATAATACTAATAACAATAACATTATACAGATGCAAATTGTCATGAATAAACCTAAACCCCCACCCCTTTATAACAGATTTTAATTGATCAATAATCTTGGTCTATTTAAGTTCCTCAAATGCAGCTTATCACACCTCCTTTTCAGACTAGCACACCCATCAGAGTCCAAAAAGTGGCACAAATGGATATTTTATTTAAAAACCGTGGTACAAAATGAAAAAATGACAGTTGCACTGGTGTGAAAATAGCAACAAATCATACATGCCTTGCACCTTATTGCAATGGGTGTATGATAGACGTGTATGATTTTTTTCAAGATGATTTATTTCACTATTAAGTTGTACTGTTTGTTTCAACATACATTCATAGAGTTATTTGTGTTGTACTGACCTTAGGGTTGGGTGATGTAAACCATTTTGGCATCAAAAGATGTCTAATGTGAAACATTGCGATGGACGATGGCATCGTCGTCATAGGCGAAGGTGAATTAATTTTGTATGAATAAATCATTAATTTATAGCAAATTAATCATTTGTAGCCCACCGTTTCAACAACCTGACCCGCATGGTCTTTGTTTTACCTATAAACTTATCATAAATAAATAAAGATAAGTTGCACACAAATGACCACCTGTCAATCACTTTTTCAGCGGGAGGTTGTTCTGTAAAAAAGGTGCACAACAAGTGTAGAAAGTGAAAGTGAAAGATTGAAGCTGTGTACTGTTGATGTCACACGTTACCTGATAGATTTAAAACACCAAATTAAATATCATGTTTAACAACTTTAGTGAGACGCGATCCAGCGGTACACACTTGATAAACTGTCAGATGTGCACTGCTCTCTGAAGGAGCTCAGATGAGCGGATGACAGTGTGTGTGGCTGTGTGTGTGAGGTCACGTGATGTGCGTTTTCAGTAGACGGAGAGCGGTTCAGAAATGCTAGGTAAAACATGGTGTGGATGTGGATCATTTTCGTTCTAAGATGTTTTAGTGTAAACGGGGCATAAGTGTGTATTTTTCGTGATCGCTTTTGCGACGGGGCGGAGGATTGGCGATGCTGGCTCAGCATCGCGTTGTCTATTGGTCTATTGGCTATTGGCCATCGTCCCAACCCTAATTTACCTTATTCTGCAATGCGGAAGTGCGTCATTTTTCAGTTGTTTTAGAACTTCTGATTCAGTTGGCTATAGAAAAAATGACTAGGGTTAATAAACAGCATATATACTTACTCTACAAACAAGTGAGTTCATAACTATACATACTGTAAGCAGAATAATATCTTTAGAAAATATCAGTTGGCATCATCAAGCAGCATAACAAGCTGTTTTTAAACGTCTAAAAATCAATGGAAGTGAATGAGACTGGAAGTCTCAAGCCGAAGAGTCCAAGGGCTGCGCCCACTCATACGTTAAAAATAAGGTCAATAAAGACATGTATAAAATATTTAAGCTTATAGGTTACATTCAGTTACATTTAATTGTGCTTTTTGAAGCAAAATGTTCGTTTGAACGATGGATTTGGGAAACATTGAATTGCTGAACGATGTTTCAAACAGAACTTGAGATCTTAGTTGGTTAACGAAGGCTATTAGAACTCAATTTCTCTCCATATGCTTGTGATTTCTTGTCCATTATTTATAAATACTAGGCCAAGTTATCCCTAATTTTTAGGATGATAAATACAAAGTATGTCATGTCTATCATTGTGAAAGTCTGAGGCTTGAGAGCCCTACGTTCGTATCTAATTAAATAAGAACATGACAGGAAAGAAAAAGCAAGAAACAAACATGTCTTCACAGAACGTATCACAGAGCCTTTAAACACCACATTGCTGATCTGCCTGGTTATTACTGATTATCCTCTCTCAGCACACCATCAATCCAGGTCTCTTGCATACAATGACAGCTCACCTGAGTAGCATACGACAGGAGCTGCAGGTGGTGGCCCTCTCGAAAGTGTGCATTCTGAAGTGGTGAGAGTTAAACGTGGCGTTTTCTGGTCGAATATTAGATCTGAAATGGAAAATGGGAAATGGAAGAAATCATAGTGCAAACTTGGCTGATTGGAGAAATGAGCACCCTGACAAGCTAACCGTATGAGTTAAAATGCATGTTTAAGAGGCCAGAGCGAACGGGCGCTGAATGTTGTGGCCCACGGGACCGGGACCAAACCTTCTGATTCTGGGCACGAATCAAAGCAGTGGGGAAGCTCTTTACCCAAACGACTCTAAGATTGATTCCTGCGTCAGGAGAGCTGTGTGCATGCGGCAGGTGTAATTTGTTGTTTGAATGCACCCTTCAGATCATCATGCAGTCAAGCATATGTATATGTGCGTGTGCAGGAACACATTTTTAAAGAGTGACATATAAATCAAGCTAGAGAGGAAACATCATTACAGACTCTCAGCACGAAGGACAGCGTATCCTCTTTAACCTACACTATTTTCAAATCAGAACTCTCGTTAGTTTTCCTCTCCGTCTCTCTTTTCATTCCTTCCAGTAAAGCACTTGTAAATTCACTGTGCCATCAATTTTAAACAGCATCCCAGATGCATGCAGGGTGTCACCACATACTAGAGGGAAATAGGATGTTTGACGTAAAGCGACATCAGTATAAAGATGAGGGATGCTTATTGAATATAAGATGCTGTGTACAAATATTGACTTGTTTTAACTTAAAAAACAAAAAAAAAAAAACAAAAAAAAAAAACATTTAAGATATTTCTTACTGTTGTGTGAACTTTTCTAAAAAATTGTTTTGGCTAAAGATCTTATGTGGAAGGTCACCTTTCACAGTTCACATGTAAATGATTAATTTAAAATGAATGTACATACACTCCATATTGACTGTAAATAAATTGCTTTCTTAGGCTGGAACTCTAACAAGCTTTAAATTAAATAAAAAAAAAAAATCAACCTAAATCATTCGCTCACAAACCATATGGTTCTCAAGTGGTATAAACAAGTTGAACCAACTGATTCAGTAAACACCTCAATGGGTAGAAAGTTTATTTGTGGGTAACTTGTTTGTGGCTAACAGCCTTGTTCTCCCTAGGGAGATTCCTTTTTTAAGATTATTTACAAATCTTTAGGGACAGAACTGAGGTTATTTATCAACGGTATATGCTATGGCCAATAAAATGGAAAAGGTATTTATTGACTTAACACCATTGTCATTAATGTTAAAAAAAGCTCAGTCTGAAGTTTCAGTATAAAGTGCTATAGTTTAGTTAAAATGTGTCTGATGAGCGCACACCTTGAATGGAATGCTAATAGAGAGGAGGAACTATGACGTCCCTTTGTAGGCTAATCGGCTGCTAGCATAAAACTGGTTCCCTCGTGAAAATCCCTATTGGATTTTCCCATAGGGTTTTCGAAGATTGCAAATAATAAGCTCTGTGTTCAAACACTGTTCATTACACTTACACGTTTTGTCCAGCCAGATAATCCTCACACGAAAATACAACTTTGAGGACTTTTTTTTTTTATCTTAAATTCAAACGCAAGAATTGAAAAGCTAACATTAGGCTATAAACGGACTACAGAGCCCTTGGGGCGCTCGTCTGTGACGTCAGCACCACCCTGCTACAGACGACTTATCAAGCTTATTTTTAGAAATAATGTCCATGACAAAGAGTTATTCTCTCTGTTTATTATATAATAATCCACAATATATAATATAATAAAAATAAATACGCAAAACACATAGACCTTTGTGCCTTTTGGATTGTTTTTACATGTGTAAATATTGCAGTTATGACAGAGTAAAATGTGTTCGGATGAAGAAAAAAAAGACGAATCTAGATCACGTTAAAATGATAGTTAATATGAATGTATTTTTACACATTTATTCACATGTTTGCATTACTGGGAGCAGGACAGAGACAAGCTGCACTGGTGAGCAGTATCTTCATAATAGAAACCGTCTTTTTAAAGAAGCGTGGCCGAATTAAAAACTCAAGAGTGTGCTGTAACTAATGTGTTTTATGTTGTGGAACAAAACGTGAAAGTATCTTGAATTTGTGTTAGCCACGGACCTTATTTAAGCGATTTTACTGAAACCTCATACGAAAAACCCATTGACTTTGGGACGAGGGAACCGGAAGTGCTAAAATGCTAACTCGCTTCCGGGTTTTTGCATACAAATTGACGTCATAGTGTCACGTTTCAGGATTGAAACAGGAACAAAACGGGAGAAGAATCCAAGTGCAGATCTTTTAATGTGAAATAGTGCAGCAACAGTGACAAAATCCAAAAATCAAAGTAACAAAGTAACAAAATAAACAAACAAACTATGAACTCAAACAGACTAAACTAGAACTAGACTTTAGCAACAAGAACAGGATATAAACTGGTATCAGGAAACACATACCAACAGGAACGACAACGACCAACTGACAAACAGAGGATAAATGACTGAATATATTGTCCAGGTAATCAACAGAGAACGGAGACAGCTGTGGTTGTAAATCAGTGTAGATGACAGACCGGGTGTGTGCGCGAAGGAATGTACAGAAATGTAGTTCAAAAGCCACTGTAGTTCGCTGGAGGTTGCTAGCAAACTACAGTGGCATCTCGTGGACAAACACAGTTATGACAAATAGTTCCTCCCCTCTATAAGCTTAGGGTTATTTCCAATCGAGGCACACAGATTTTATTTTCCAGGCGCACCTAGTTGAAAACATCTCAACTTTCAAGGACGTTGTGGGCACACTGCAATTCATGTAAGTAGAACTAACCAATCTGCTTTACTCTTTGCAGGGAATATACACATTCTGGCAATAATGGCAGACTAATTACCCGAGACAAACACTCAAGCTCCCAAACAGTGCCTTTAATTATCTTCATAAATAAAACTTGTATCGGAATCGCAGCATTAGTTTGTCCGTTTGTCATCCTATAAGAAAATGGTTGGTGGTCACCTATTTACGATACACACCAGGGAAGCGCGAGTGCAAAGTGCATTGAAAATGTTGAAGGAATATGTAAACGAATTCAGGTTGGGTTTTGTCATCGCCACCTTAGGTGAAAATAACATGTGTAAATGATTGCTGCGGCTATCAGCAATGAGGAGATTGTAAAAAAAAAGGATGTCGAGTGGCTTTTTGTTTTTTTTTCTTGTGCATCCCAGCCACTAGCACCCCATCTGACAGTTTTTTTAGCATAGGGGTAATATAGTCATTCAACTTCCCAATTAATGTAATGTTGCAATGTGTATTTGAATAACGATTATTGATGATTATTTCCTTTGCCTAAAAGCATTTCAGATCATAATTTGTTTTGTTGACAGAATTTGAGGTTTACTGTAACATTAATAATGACACCTTACATATGTTGATCTACCTTAAAGTTTGCTTTGATTGTTCAGTATTTATGCTTTGCCATTGCACACACTTTATGACATTTTGAGAATCTTTAACATTTTTGTTTATTTTATTAGACATAAGCAGAGGTGGGTAGAGCATCCAAAATCTATACTTAAGTAAAAGTACAAGTACTTGCAGAAATTTTTACTCAAGTAAAAATAACAATCTTAAAAGTAACTCGAGTAAGAGTAAAAAAGTACTTGATATATATATATATATATATATATATATATATATATATATATATATATATATATATATATATATATATATAAAAGTCGTACATCTTTGTGATGAATATATCTGATAAAATACTAAAATACAAAATTGTTATATTGTGGTAACTGGTTGGTTTCTTGGCCAAGTTCATATTTTTCTACATCTTATATTATAGTTTAAAGTTAGAGTTTAGTTAAAGTTTTAGAAAGCATGGTTGAGTAACTGATGACAGAATTTTGATTATCTTAACTCACATAGCCATCTCAAACTGGTCCAGCCATTTCTTCTTCAGCTCTTTCGTCTTGAATAGGAACTCAAATCCACTCTGTCCCTGTTGGTGGGTGAGGTAGAACCCGCTGGACCACTGCCAGATGACAAGACAAATAGCACAATAACTGTTTAAAATACAAATTAAACTTATATGTAAATCTCTAACTTTCAGATGTGCATATTAAGTCATTTGTAATAAATGGCACATAATGTTGCCGCACTGGAATATTTAAGGCTTGAGGAGTTTGCCTTAAAGCTGTGAAGGGAAACGGCAGTGAGGGTTGGTGGGTGAAGGAAAAAGGGGGCTCATTTTATTTTACACAGCCAGAGGCAACCTTGGGGGGAGTGGACACATTCATCACCAACTATTACTATTCAGTGAGTATGTGGAAATGTGCTTGTGTATATTTGTGTGGTATAGCATTTATGCACACTACTGAGGGATACAGTGCAAGTTGTAGCATTCCATTCTATTCAGGGTTTTGCTGTTAAGAGTTATTTGTCTGTCATAGGCATGGGATGATATCCATTTTCACGGTATACCGCGGTTTGGAAAAATCAAGGTTTTAAAACCACCCAAAAATTTTTTACATTCCTAAGGTATGTGTTTGTAATATCTAATGAAGACAGCAGAAGTCAATGATACGTTTAGCCTTATCCAAAATATTTTAAATGTTTCACAAAATAGAACACATTGTGTTCAAATGTGAAAAGTGGAAGTTTTAGTTTTTCACCCAGACATTTAAAAAGAATATATTTTAGAGCAGTAATAGCAAGACCATGAAACTCTGACATTTTTATCCAAGATTATCATACTGCCAATTCTATAAACAGCTAAAATAAAAATAAAATAAAATTAAGATAAATAAATAAATAAAACAATCCAGCATTTTTTTCCCACAAAATTGAGTTGATCACATTTTTATTTAAGTATTACAGTGTTTTCTATATGATTATGTGTAAATGTTGCACTTTTTATTGAGGAAGAAAAGTAATTTTTTTTTTTCGTTTTGTTTATTTACAGAGTGCTACAAGGATTATGACACATTTATGCACATTAATTTACACATTTACTTAATGATTAGATTACATTTTTTGAGTGAACAATCCCTTTAAATAGAAAAAAAATCTAACCCATAACCAAACTACAACAACATAAAGCTAAATAAATGGAACAAAGTATAAATAATACTAATCTTATCAGGGATTTTTGTGAGTAAAAAAGTACTTTTGAAGGTCCCATGAAATTAAAATACTTTTTTTTAGATCAGTATTGTTAATTTTTAAGATATCTATAAGCTAGTGTGACAAAAATTAGAAGATATAAAACTGATCATTTAATTTAATTTCAAGAGTTCACACTTTCCTGATGATTAAATTTGTTTGGCATGCTGTCCCGGGAGAGAGCCCTGAGCTCATGAGATCCTCGAGTCCGGGGCTCCCTCCGGTTTGCAGGGCAAGAGGTTAGTTTGAGCTCAGGTAGATCTCAAGAACTCCCCTGCTTTAGTAGCTAATGAACAGATAGTGATAGTGATTGCTCTTAAGAAATAACTACTTACTAGGAGCAAGTCTATGGTGCCAATTTGGACAACTTAAGTTGCATGTTTTTGGTTAGTAGGAGAAAGCCGGGGAACCCGGGGGAAACTGAGGAGGGGGGAATGTGTAAACTACGGAATTGCGGCTGGCTTGGTAAGAACTAGAACCAGTGATGTTCTTGCTGTAAGGCAACAGTGCCAACAACTGGGCTACTGTACCACTCATCTGGCATAGGAGGAGAAGTAGGGGTGGAAAGGGGGATTCTTTAAAATGAAGATGGCTGTTATATGGAACGTTGGGTATTTAAAGTGGCTTAAGAATAGTCTGATTGGTGAATCATAAATTGATAATGCGGGACCAGCTGCAAGCAATCATAAGCACATGATCCTCTCGAAATTAGTTTATAAACAAACTTTACTTAATTTAAAAATGTTCTATTTATTTAGCCTATATATGCTATTAAAATATATTTAATTTATTTATTTATTTATTTATTTATTTATTTATTTATTTATTTATTTATTTATTTATTTATTTAAACTATATGAAATTAAATTACAACTTGTATTTTACCAAGAACATTTAACTGAGCTCTGTGAAAAGTTTTGTATGGCCTACAGACAAAAATGTAATAGAGCCATGGGTGTGGTGAGTCGGCATCTATGTCTAAAATGAAACTATTTCTCTTATCAGAAAACAATAAACACAATTATCCCAGGCAAAGCTTTGTATAAGATTTTAGCTAATATGAACAAAACATGGAGAAAACACCTCCACCCTCCACGAAAAAAACAGTCACCCGCAGGCATCGAGTCCTCCGCCTTCAAGCTGAAAGGGCAGAGAATGAAGCTCGACTGCCCCCTACTGGGGATGTATTTCCTGCAATCTTCAACAAGCAACAGCTAGTCATGACATTCTGTTCCCTAAAGGCCGTCTCACAATGTGCAATTTTTTTATAATCCTAAACGATTGTTGCATGTCAGATTGCACGAACATGACACCCATATCACACTGTAAGATTTCAGCTGTCATAAAGTCAGACTGAACGACGATGAAAATGTGCCAAACACAAAAGAACACACCACTGGAGTTTGACGTCATCCACCCGTGAAACTTTCATTATCCCGCCTAATGAAATGATTCCTCCCAGCAAACATAAACAATCTGTAGCTGCAATTTTGCAAACGGAGTGTCTCGATAATAAAACCAGGAAGAAAGAAACCGTTTTGACATTTCCCTGCGGTCATTTGAATTGTCGCATGGATTGCGTCATCAGATACTGCTCTCCTATTGGTTCTTTGATTGACACTTTGTAGCTGTCACACAGCAGGCAAGTGTCTGAAATCTTTTGAGACTGCCAGAACTTCACCGGAGGGAAAATCTGATCGCAACAGCTGTCTGTAAACATGTCAAACCAACGATCAAAGGTCACAGATTTTAGCCGAGGAATTCAGAAATCTTTCAGGTTTTCCCAAATTTGTCTTAGATGACAAAATATTGTCTGAAATCTCACAGTGTGAGCAGGACTTTAGACACGCATGTCTAAAGACCACATCTGTACACAAGTAAAGCTTGCAGTTAGTCACTTTCACCTGAATGGATCAACGGTTTAATTCACCTCATACTTCAGATTCTTATCAAATAATAACCAATCAAAAACTCTCTAGTATCTGACAAACCCCGCCCCCTTCAAGATGCTTTTCATTGATCTCAATCACTCTCCCTGATAGAGCTGTGATGAAACAAAACACAATTGGCTGTTTTTTTTACACTATGACCCACCATCTCTTCATGTTTCAGATGAGATTACTTCAAACATCAAATAAAACTGAATATTTCAAATCACTTCACGGGACCTTTAAAAAGAGTTACTGTTTTATGGTAACAGTGACTCTTATTAAGAGTTTAATAATATAACTGAAATAATGATTAACAGAGTGTTCATGAAAAATCAGGAAAAGTCATTAAATTTGCTTAAAGTTAAACACATTTAATTATCTATTTTAAAAAATCTGTTCTGTGTGTTACTGAAAGGCTGAAACAAGAGCACATGTCTATGTTCACTACTCACACAAAATCTATATCTATTAGTGCATGGCAAACAACATTATCATTGAATTAATTTATAAATGAAATCCCTGTGAGACTTTAAACCATAATTATTGCAGTATTTTTTATTCACGTTTAATTATTCTTAAAGCCTGTCTGCATTATACTGCATTACCAACCAACCGAACACACACGGTGGCAATATTACAATTACAAACTTTTCTTTCTATCAAAATAAATATGTTAAGAGAAAAAAAATGAAAATACTGCAATTCAATTAATATTGTACCTATACTATAACCTATACTAAATATAAAGTTTTATTGCTATTTGAAAAAAAAGTAAAAACAAAGTTATATTCATACCCCCTAGTTTTCAGTGATTACGCGATTGCTGAATCCAACGCAAAATAAAAGTCATTTTTTTTAATTAAACGAAAAATAAAATTTAAAACATTTAAATAATCTCATAAATCATTCAATTCCAAACCATATAATCAAATTTGATTGATTTCAGTTTGCAATTAATTGTTTTACGTGACTTATAGACTTTGCATACGCAGTGCACGTGATGTATTTGAGCGTCTCTCGAAAAATGGCATCTCATCTGCACCCTCACAATCATTACTTTACATGGGATCGGGGCAATTGTTTTGCAGCCTGTGCAGTAAGCAGAGGCGGATGAAGCGAGAGTGATTTAAGTCAATGCAAAGATTGGATTAGAAATCCTGTGACGCGAATTGGCCGTTTTGTGCGCTTGATGAGCGTCAGACTGTAAAATAAACTGTGAGCGAACATCTATCAAACTGAGCAGTGGAACAGACAGAAAACAATCAGCTTACAATGATGTCGATTGGTTCAAGGATGACAGCCGCTGGACGTGACCGAACTGAAGGACATTTTTTATGCTTTAAATGTATGATTGGTATTATGATGAGCGTTAAATCGATGATTTCGTTCCACTTTTTTTCTGCAGTTAACAAGAGAAAATGCTTCCCTGCCATTGACAAGTTTTACGGCAATTTGTGTTTTAGGTGTATAACAGTGGGGAAAGCCCTAACCCATGTCGAGTGAGTTTCATGATGTCAGATGCTCCGGGGAGTGAAATCTGAGAGAAAATAAGATTGTGGATAAAAGTATTAAGATAAAAGTATAAGTTTTACAACGTTCCTTTAGTTTAAACCTACCATTGTAGATCTTTTTTACATCTTGTATTGACGAGAGACCAAAATAAAGAAGCTTTATATTTATGATTTGTGTCATTATCATTGTGTCAGATTGCACACCCACATAGTAAGCTAATGTAAGGTCATGTAGCTAAATAAAAATAATAATTAAAAAAATCAATAATAATAATAAAAAATATATATATTATTATAATTGAAAAATTATATTATTAATTTTGTTTATTATGGAGTTTTGCTATTTTCCTAAGACATTTCTTTAGTCATGTCTGTGTGCAGGTGTTGTGGAGAGAGTTAGCCGTTGTGTACCGTGCCTGTCAAAGACG